GAAAATAGAAGGTTATTTTTATCTACAAACTGTAATCGAAAAAATTTTTGAAAATTTTAGGTTACTTAAGCTCTAAAAATTAATTCATTTCTAATACATGTTCTTTTTAAAATCTGCTTTAAAACAGTAATCAGTTTAAGATTTTAAGTTTTAGTTTAATTGCGCTATTTAAGCTTTCCACAAAAAAGTTGAGCAACTGAACAGAAATTTTATATTTCAAAAAGTAATCAAAAATGACTAATCGATTCATAAAACGTTTTTAAAAGCTATAAAATAGCAGTAAATTTAAAAACATCGTTCCAGTAAATCAGTTTAACCTGAACTATAATTTTTTTTTTTAAATGTTGTTTTATGCAACAAAACATTTTCTGTTTTTTACATTAAGAAAAATATTTACATAAACACACGTTATTTTGTTGAGCACTGAAATTGCGACATCGAAAAGAAGGTAAAAAGGAATGTATGATTTACTGATTACACAATTTTCAAAAGTTTGAAAAAAGATTATGCAGCTCAAATTACAATAATATGCAAAAAAAAAAACATTTTTTTAATACCCAAAACTATTTTTGAAAAATATGACACAGTAATAACTCAGAAAAAAAAGGCTTTTCTCTCAAATTTTTTCTGTGTAAAGTTTTGCTGTATTTTAAGATGATTTATCATTGAAAAAAAAAAAGAAAACTCTAGAACTGCAGTAAAAGCGTAACGTAATTTAAAAAAGAAAAATTTTATAGTTTTTAAAAAATTTCAATAGATTAGGTAAAATAATTTTTGATAAGTCAATATTTTTGCAAAAATTTGAAGCTATATATCTGTCTTCAGAATACTTTATTTTTCAGTGTTTCAGTGGAATAGCGTCAAAGGTGTTGCTTCTTACGCTTCTTTCAAAAAGGTAGAAAAAATGTTTGCTAATTAAATATACGATCAAAAGTTGAAATTTTAGTAATTTTCTTTCTTTTTTAAAAAGCAAACTTTGCTTAATATAGTTAAATTTTGTAAAAAATGTTTAAAAGTATTCTATTGCTGCTGTTGTTCATTTTTCTTTTTGTAAATGACACTGAAAATGATTGTTAATTTTTACAATATAATTGGTTTTCATTTTCTTTTTTTTTTAACTTTAATTTACTGTAAGCAGCAAATATAACTTTTTTACATCAACTTTTTTTAGGCAATAATGAAATTTCTTTTTGTTATTCTACTAATAGTTGTGGTGATGTTTGCTATCCAAACTGTTGCTGAACTTTATCAATGCACGATGAATCAAGAGAATTGTAAAAATATTATTCCAGCAGTAAATGAATCTTTTGATAGTTGTAGTTTATATTCTCCAGAAAATCGGTAAGACTTGAAAAAAAAAGCATAAAAAACTTAGACCACTATTTTTTTTAATTTTTTTTTACTATAATAGTTCAGAGTTGTAAATTTTACAAATAACTTTTCTGTACTCGTCAAACAATCGTTATGTTATCGTTGCAACATTTCTTAACTGTATTATTGTTGCAATACAACTGCAAAAGAAAAGGAAGGAAAATAAATAAACAGATTGCTTACGTCAAAAAAAAAAAAAAAATAATGAAAAAAAGAAAAAAGATTTTAGAAATGGAAAAAGATCATGTTTAAATCCGTTAGATGAACCGTTTGTTCGAAGCTGTTTGAAAACTTGTAAACTGTGCTGTCACGACAAGAAATACAACTGTAATAATCGAGGTGAAAATCTGCTCAACTGCTTTTTTTTTTTCTTGATATAATCATTTTTTTCTTTGTTTAACTTGCAAAAATTGAGGTATTTATTTTTTTTCTTTTTTTAGAAAATGCAACTGTATGTGAACTGGTGGGAATCGCAGGACTTTGCGACGACAAAGATTATCCAAAACTGGGAAAGGAAGCATGTCCAAAAACTTGTGGTAAATGTGAGGAATTAGGAGAGTGTAATGACAAAGGTGGTGAACAGTGCCTCAAATTTAAGCAGTTTTGTGAACAGAAAAGTCAGTTGGGAGATTATGCTAGAGAAAACTGCAAGTTTACATGTAATAAATGCAACACTGATGGAAGTACAGGAGGATCAGATAAAAAAAATTAGCAAAGTTGGTTCTAAATAAGAAAAATTTTGAACAAAATTAAACTTTCAAAATTTATTGTTTTAAAATTAAAATTATTATATAAATTTTATGAAATTAATTGAAATAATTACAATTACTGTTGCTTTATACTAAAATAAATAATGTTGTATTGATTTTGTACAGTAATCGAACACTACAGTAGTTTTTTTTTTTTATTGAAAAATTTTTGTTAATAACAGTAATAATTTTACTTAAAACTGTAAAAGTATCTAAAAAAAATGTTTAAACAATTAAGAAAAATGTTTTTTTAATTTTTTTTTTGTTTTTAAAACAGTCAAATATTTCTTGTCAGAAAAATTTTTCAAAAACAAAAAAAAAAGAGAAAAAAGTTTTGTATTATTGTTATAAATAAGTATTTTTTGCTAAAATAATTTATAAGCAGTTAAAATTATCAAATATAAAAAACTGTTCTGAACCAAAGATTAGTTGCTCAGTATAATTATAGAAGACAAATAAATGAAGAACTGAAGATTTATATAAGCCAAAATGTTTCTGCTACAACCATAATAAACAGCTAAACTGTTTAGCAAAAATTCTTTTTTTTTATACCTCACTTATAGGCAACTTTAGCGACAGATATTTATTTATTTATTTAATTATTTTTTGTTGTTGTTTGCATAAATTGATAGCTTTTCGTAAAAATTTTAAAAAACTGATCTTTTTACTGGTTAACCAGTTCAAAAATTAGCAAATTTTTATGGTTGTGGAAAAGTTCAACGAAACTGAGTTGACCATTTTGTTGTACAGTTTAGTTTATTCAATTTCTTGTTTTACCTTCTGTCTAAAATGTGATAATTAGTAAGAAAAAAAAAGATACATTTCTAAATATTAGGTTTTTTTTTGCAATTAAATTTATAAACAAAATTCAGGTGTCAAAGTTTTATGCCTTACAATCAACAACTAAATCAGTGCGATAAGTTATTTGTTTGTTACTGTAAAATTTCAGACAATTATTCAGTTATTTTAATAAAAAATTAAGTTTGAAAAAAAAATTTTTTTTTCAAATGTGACGACAATACAGGTGAAAATAATAAGATTCTTATCAGTTCATATTTTTTTTTGTCATTAAATAATAAGAACGACGAGCTGTAGGTAAAAAAAGCTGTGAAAAAACCATATGTTTAAAAAGATAGACCTGCCAGCTCAGTATGTCAGCAGTCAATTGGTAAAATAGTCTGGAAAATATAAAATTTTTAAGAAGATTCAGTAACAAAAAAAAAAAGTAAAAAATGATGAAGTATTTTATGTGCAACATAAGTTTTGGATGTTTGTGATCAAGATTATGTAATAAGACCAAGTTTGCAAGCTGAAAGATTCAAAAACAATTGAAGAAAAGTTTCTGCAGCTGAAATTATGACAGTTTGCAGAACAATTTAGAAGCCTAAATTTGTTTCCTTAGTGACACAAGTAATATGCTGATAATCAAGAAAAATTTTGCTCTTATTTTCGCTGTTTACAAGTTTTTTTTACTTTGCATAACAACAAAAAAAAAATTTGTAAAACAGCAAAAATAATAAAATCAAAGATTTGTAATGTTTAAAAAGTTGTAACAAACAGTTTTTTGAGATTGCCATTTGTAGCATTTAATGACATCTGTCATTCAAGTAGTTTATTCTTAAGTGCAGCAATGAGGAAGTTTCAAAAACTGTTTCTTAGCTATGCTAATTAATTTTCTTACTGGTTTGCTTCTGAAGCAAAAAAAAAATAAGATTTCAAATA